TTCTTAATAATGTTTAATCCAAAGACATTGCTAACCCTGTGATATCGCAAGCTATAATCGTATGTAAATTTAAAAGGGTAAGGTCGAGTTTTGTTGGATGACTTGACTCTTTTCCATAACACGCCAATTATTCTTTTATATTTGCATATACAGGTATACAGATATATGTTCAATATAGACGACAAGAAATTCGTCCGTTAAAATTATCACTACTAATGAAATATTCCACCCAAAAATATATATCTAGGTAAGAACTTGTTCCATATTGTTGTCAACTAAAGGATGTCTCAATCATCCACTTTATGAGTGATGAGTCTTTTATGACGGGTACTTAGGTTCTTACAGAAGTAATGATGAATGACCTAGATATCTTATAAGCAGCAATTAAATGTTGTGAATTAGTGTCTTTATACATCTACATAAAATCGAAAATGAAATTTGAATTTGTCAACGGGAAAAATTAACGACGATTGCCATGGTAACGTACGTGATTCCGTGATGTTTGAATCGTGTCGAGAATTTGAAATAGACAAACTCGGGAATGGTCTGAAAGGGTTTCCTGTTGAAGTGGATATGGTAAGAATTGCTAATATCTCTACAGCGTTAAGAATTGTTACGCGATACGTTCAACGGGAAAGGGTACTTGTTGTATAAATGCAATTTAGGTGACTAGTGATGTCTAGTTATATCACAGTCCCCACCCAGGCTCTCGACTCACAGACAGCCGGACACAACAAACAGGGATCTTACATTATTATTGTAAACATCTCGTAATCACGACTTCAGCCACTCCAGGTAACAGTCTTCAGGCAACATGGCGGACAGGGCAATCTGAACTCACGGCCGTTATGGGGGAAGCTATTACTTATCGTCTGCAAGCTTTGGGGATTTACACGAATCTAGCTCGAGTAGAGCTGGATATCGTTGTTGTATAAACAAGTTTAACTTAGATTATATTAATGGAGTTATACCGATGACAGTCTATGAATTATCATATCCCCGGATAAAACCGGGGGACATTTTGGGTGCAAATAAAACGATTACAGTGACAGTAGGGATTATATATTCTGCCGCCTGATCCCTCCGTGTACTGACTTCTGCCAAAATAGTTGGCCAGCGGGATCATCAGACTTCAATGGCCATACACGCTCTGTCGTCTGTTCAGATAAACTTTGCCCTCCATTCCGTTCGACCAAAGCCGTATCCCATCTAAATCTGTGTGAATAATATTTCATTGTTTTATCTGCCCAGGTAAATACATGCCTACCCACCTTCTGCCTTTTCTATATTTGGTTAAATATTAAGTACAGATAGCTGAGATAAGATGAACCTTGGAATATTTTTAAACGGTGTGTCTTGTGTATACCCTTCTTTTAAAATCACAACTGTTTTAAATGAATTAAGGATGCTGCTTTACATAAATATTGCCGAAACATCCTACATATCTACTCTGGTTAAAGTTCTGTGTTATTACAATAAAATTGGACCTGTACTTTCAATATAATAATTATTATTATGCAGGTAAAAGGCATACACTAACAGAGCAGTTGGTATATAATAAGTAGTTTAGAAATTTGATATCAAATGTCATGTTGATCTTTACCTGGGATAACCCATCAAAGCCAGGGAAGGCTTATTTCCAATCGGATCCCTTACAGGTATATATGTATTATAAGGAAAATACATTCATATGTTCCGACATCGCAGTAATAGACATAGTAAAGATGACTAGTCATACGGCAGTGTTGAAGTCAGAGTTTTCGTATGTACCCGATACAACAGATAGAGCAAGAACACGCCGCTAATGTTTATGTCGCACCCACAATCCATCTGATTTACGGGGAGGAAAAATAGGCTAATTGATATCCCCACGGTGTCTCCAGTATTTTTCAGAAAAATAGTTCATAAACAAAGGTTCTAAAGGATTGACTCATTCGTCTGAAATCTGCCCACGAACGCGTTTTAGTGGTGATAATAGTCAAGTTAAGCCAGTGTTAATATATCTGTACGTCTAAATGATCAAACTGGCACACAGTTTTCAATATCAAGAAATATTAATTAACTAAGTATCAATAATGCTTTCGGAATCACATCATTAATATCACAACGTATAATTGGGGTTAATTCAAAATTAAAATGACAAGTTTTCTTGTATATAATAACATTTTTTAAAAACAAATTACATTTTTATAACATTTTGCTTTCGATGCTTTTTACGTTTGCTTTGATGGAACCAACAGTCTTTCGGGGCAGCATGGCTGGCGTCTCCTTCCAAGAAACCAAGATCTTAAAATGAATTAATATTTAGGAATGTATAAAAGATTAACGAAAGCATCAAGAGATTTGCTTCGCATTAACAGAAAAATCTGAAGCATGACGGAAAAGATAAAGTTAAGAAATATATCCCAACGGTCACATGCCTTTAATGTGTGCTTCCCCTTATAAGCTACAGTCGCAAAAAAAATTGCGACAGGCTGCTGGTACTTGCGATTTCATTGTGTTCCAGTTCGTGGGTTTATCTCTTCACAAATATAATTTTAAATGAGTTTCCGAGACGTAGTTAGCAAGTAAGCAGTGACTGTTTTAACGAATGGTGTTGTCCTCCAAACCCCGCCTTTCTATTGCTGACAAACTTAATAAATCCCGGTTTTCATGTTATTTTTTCAGCAATAACAACCCGTGTTACAGGACCATAATACTGTTTGTTAAAACTTTTATTACTAACATTTACATTTCCAAAGAGCAGATATATTTTATTGGGTTATTTCACTCTCCTAACATCAGTTCGTTAAGTTCTTAGAACTGGGAATCAGTTGTCATGATGAAAACGGTGACGTCACAAGGGGGGTCATTCAGTAACTGTTATTTGCACGTTATCCATTATACAGTAAAATCTTGATATAATACCCCGTCGTTTTATTTGCCATCTCTTTTATCGTCAACATAGTTTAATTAATGTCCTTCTCCCATTTTTTCTTAAAATCCTTTTTCTCGACAATATATCGCCAACACCCTTTGTAACACCACTTTTTTAAAAGTTAAACTGGATTTATCACTTATACAATGTAGTAAACTATAGACAAAAGTGAACGACAATCTTTCAACAATGATATGTATAATTTGATTAAATAACCTCTACCTCTTAGAATCATACATATACATATGTATTTTGTTTCTCCCATGATTGGATACCCTACTTATCTTTAAAATATAAACTCATGATACCGGTTGTAATATTGATACAAAAGTGTGTAGTTTGTATACAACTGAATGGTAGATTGATAAACAGTTATCTTTAAACTCCGGAGATAAATATTCACAAATAGCATCAAAGTATTCACCCAACCAGGTGAACTATAACTAGTATAAATTGCTAGATCAAATAAAGCTGATGTTCAACCCGCCATTAACTATAATTGGTATTAAATGCAACATGGAATATTACTGATATTCATCCCTCTGTGAACTATAACTGATATTAATTGCTAGATAAAATATAGCTGATATTCACTCCTCCGTGAAATATAACTAGTATTAATGCTATATCAAATATAGCTAATGTTCAACCCTCTGTGAACTATAACTGGTATTAATGCTATATCAAATATAGCTGATATTCACTCCTCCTTGAAATATAACTGGTATTAATGCTATATCAAATATAGCTAATGTTCAACCCTCTGTGAACTATAACTGGTATTAATGCTATATCAAATATAGCTAATGTTCAACCCTCTGTGAACTATGACTGGTATTAATGCTATATCAAATATAGCTAATGTTCAACCCTCTGTGAACTATGACTGGTAGTCATTTCTACTTAAGGTATAACTAGTATCCCGTACTCGGTGAAATATAACCGGCCATGGTATCCATCAAGAAAAATCATTTCAAATAACTTGAATCATGAAAATTGAATCCATCAATACCTGTCTACCTAGTATAGTTTTCCCTGCGCACAAATTAGTTAGCATACCTAGTTAATTTTAATGTGTGATATGTATAAAGTTATTTACTAACGCTATCATGTAGTATTTTAGTACAAAATTCAGTCATCGAGATGAGTAAACACATATCCTGTAACAAGCGTGAGTTGGACTTCCTTTCAATGCTATCGTAAACTTTAAGGGAGGGGACTAAAGATAACGAAAACAGTAAAAAAGCAATACTCAGTGTAAAATTATAACAGGTTTTGTTTTGACTTCTGTCTTTACTTATTCTCCTTACAGTAATATGATTTTGAGAAAAATTCTGAACATCTACTGACTTGGATATACCCTCAGTTTTGTTGATATCTATGAAGGACTGAATATACATTTATCCTGGTTTTGTGTGATGTTAAACTGCGACTATGAATTAATGATAAAAGTTCGTGTTTTCATATTGTCGTCTGCGTTGTTATTACCATACATTGTAATTATCATAATAACTTTAAATGTATGTCCGTTTTATTACCATACATTGTAATTATCATAATTCCTTTAAATGTATGTCCGTTTTATTACCATACATTGTAATTATCATAATAACTTTAAATGTATGTCCGTTTTATTACCATACGTTGTAATCTTTATTTGGAGGAAATTAAAAATAGTAATAAAATATTCTGCCTTTATTCATACAGCAAGAGTGGAGTTGATATGTTGTATTCCATTTCAAACTCAACGCCAATTACGTTTCTTTAATTTATACATCTGACTTCACACATTGCTAATACTCTGTAAGATTAGGTAGGATTCTGTACGGTCAAGTTATCCTTCATTTAATTAACAAGGTACGTTCTCCGATTCAATCAACATAACAGCACATAATCTGGTCCTACGACAACACTGCACCTTACAGGCGTTGTTCTGGAAACTTCAACAATAGCTTTATCAAATAGAAAACGCACTATGTATCTTTTGTAGCGAATTCTGATGTTCTGACTTTCATTGAGCATGCAGTTGATGTAGTTCCAGATTACGTGCTAGTGTTACCTATTAATGAAACAATGACAAAATTCAATCTTTAGTTTAACTACAATATTTAATTAGAAGAGTTGTAGAAACATACATACATAGAATATGGCGCTCAAATATACACAAAGACATCAACAGAAAAAATGCGTTTTCTTTTATAAGTTAAGATAAGACAAAACATACTGAGGATTCAAATGACCTTTAACCTTGCTGTGTGTAAACCTTTCATTCAACAGGTACGGAATCAAAGCAGATGCAAGAGTCACGATGACGTGACGAACGTTCTAGCACAGAGCTGCGCCAGCACGGATGCGGACTGGTTCGGTCACACCAGAGTCGCAAACTTGCAATAGGTGCGTTCGATTCTGGTTTAAATGGAAACACGTCCAATTTATAAACATAATTATATTTGTTCGTAGTCCCAGTCCATCGTTAAAATACTGGTTCTCGTTGACATACCATGCCATAGCCCAAGCACACATCGTCAGTACACGGAACTCTGCCGTAACACCTGAGAATGAGCCATGTTTTACACGCCGACTAACAAACATCCACATATATTTATAACAGCAATAAATGTTTATTGAGATCGACAGGAATTTATTAGCCAAAAGCAAATTTATTTAGAGGGACTGTGCTAGGTCCGACGGATTTACACATTTACGACACTAGTTTACGAGCTCCTGTTCACGTCAGCTGCCATGTGCACACCATTCGAAACCTTCACAAATAGTGTTTTTAATTCGGAAACATCCACATATACCAAATAGATTACAAAAATCCCTCCGATTCTCGAACAAATCTTGAAATAGCACAAGTAGCCAGTATTTGTTCTCAAGTTTCCAAAATCAGAAATGTAGAATTCATTCCAGGATATTACGAAGAGTTCCATCACCATGTCCTCCCATTTAGAATATACGGAGATGAACCCAAAGTACTTCCGGTCATACCGGAAGGTTGATAATGCAAGTTTTGATGAATGCCTCCGTTGAGAGTTGGATGAGAGTTTGGTCCACAGTGGGCCGATAAAGGCGGTGTGTTTAGTGAATGAGAGTTCTGCATGGATTTGGAGTTTGAACTATGATGTGACGTTGAATGATGTCCACCGGAAGTTGTTCCCTGAGATGAAGCACTAATTCGCGTTGTTGCCATCGAACTTTGCTGTGAGGACTGCTGTGCGTGCGTTGTGGTTTGTGTGTCACCGGAACTGGAACACGATTTGCCGTCCTTGATTAGGACGGGCACTGCCACCCGTCTGGGCGAGGACTGTGTGGGATGAGAGTTCTGAGACTGTTGTCCAGGGGAGGACTGTTGCGATGACGCGGAGGGGGAGCTGGCGGGGGACTGCGAGTCGGGCTTGTCTTTATCCTTCACTTGACGTTTACACTTGTAGCGGTGATTCTGGAACCAAATTTTCACCTGTGTTGGGGTCAAGTTGATCATACTGGCCAGATGTTCACGTTCCGGAGCCGACAGGTATTTCTGTTGTTTGAACCGTCTCTCTAGTTCGTAGACCTGAGCCTGTGAGAACAGTACTCGTCTCTTGCGTCGCTGAGTGATAGGAAACTGTATCCCTTGGGGCTTGGTGTGCTCAAACCCACCAAGGGCAGACATGTTTACGTGGTTCATGTTCATCCCGGATGACATCGGAGACATGGCGCACGAGCTGGGGCCATTGATGAGTCTGGACACTGGAATATATAAAAATCGACTGTTGTATTATCTCTCCTACACCACGTCCTTCACATTATATAACGTCATGTTATGCCTGCTTTATTGAAACATGGTTTAAGGATCCCTGCATGCAGGCAGAACACTAAAGAATTCCATCGTAGTTTCCCCTTATTTCTTTTAGAATATATCAACGACAGTAAAATAATCGGAGATGCAGGGTTTAAATCTTGGTCTTGCCCGTTGCATTTTCACATTCGGCACACTGTTGTTGTTTATTTCGATTTTTTTTCAAAAGAATTACTGCATGATGTGACTTTCTTTTCAGCAATTATTTAACAAAGATATAGTCATGCCCCTTTTTAAGCTACTGTTTCCGTCAGTGGAACAAGGATCCTTAACATTTTTTTATATTTCTTTTTTTATGTATATTTGGTACAAACAAATAAAATGGAAGAATCAGAAAAACAAAGTTGCATTGTTCCTGTTATAGGCAGATAAGAAAAACCAACTTTTAATCGTTATTATTCTCTTTTTTTTTAAAAGTTCAAATATGAAAATCTGAAGTGACCGCAGGTGATTGCAATTATCACTATATAAACGTTTAACCCCCTCTTTCGAATTATCTACATAAAGCGTTCACATAAAGCAGCTTTTTATTCAGCTAAATGCAGCTTAAATCAATTTGTTTTACCTAATGATTTTCTTTCACTCATGCAAACATCTCTTCGAATCACTTTGTAATAATATATTGTGTGTAAATTTGCCTTGATATTTTTGATATTTTTTTTAAATATGATATATAGACTTATTTTATATTAAATAGAAATTATTATGTCAAAAACATCAGTTACGTTCTACTTTAGATGGTAAAGAAATGAATCCGGTGTGATTTTTCAATGGTCAGTTCCAAACGTTTACATGCAGTTGTTATGTATACTTATAACGATGGTGACGGTACACTCTCCGTATAGTGTACTAAAGGACGGCCGACTATCTTGTCACTTTATTTTGTTATAATTCTGTATTTATTCCATATCCTATCGGTTTGAATAGTTTCACCATATATTCTGCGCAACAGTTTTAGATATTGACCAAAATCTGATAATAAACCCTTTTCGCAGAAAAAGATTGCCCACAAAATCTCATAGGTCAACACTGGCCGGACATAGTTTTTTAACTTTGTATAAAGTACTTGCTGATACATGCATGTACTGAAAGGTGTGACACGTTAGTAAAATATTTACTATTATTTATTTATTGTCGATCTACTATACATTCGACGTATTTATTGTATGTATCCTGCAGAAAATGATGTAAATATAAATCGGACTCAGAACATTTTAAAAGCAAAGTCACAATAATGCCAAAATTCAAGATTACGAAATTATCTTGTATCGTATAAAAAGTAAAAACATCCGCTTAATTTAATAGGGTGTTTGAGATATATTTAAAATGGGTTGTGTAAAGTAAAATATCCTGGCTTCTATCAGCGAAAAATTGTTATATTCGTCACGCAATTTCCAAATTCGGTTGACACACTAATTTACAAAATACGATACTACAAACTGTTATAGAACAGGAATGTTCAGACCAAATGGTAATGTCAATGTATAACAACTGCTTGTAATGTAGTTAGTTATGACAATAATTTCATCAATTTTCGTAAATACATATTGTCATCTTTTTGTAAAAAAAAACATATACAGAAGAATTAAATAAAATTAGCAGCAGTACATGTGCGGAAATGTTTGTAATTGTTATCAGCCATTGACTGAATAAAACAGATCAGAACTGGTATCTTTAAATAATTATATAACTTCCAGAACATCGCTAATACACCATGTAATAGTCCTAATATTAATATTATTTTAATCCAAAAGTATCATCATATCGCTTGAATAAATTCAAGTTGATTAGTTTTGTTTGATGTGATCGTGCACCAGTACCGCGGTGGTGTTACATCCGATACGTACATTCGTTTCAAACCGGGTGTAAAAACGAGCACTATTGACACAGAACTGCTAACAGTTGTAACACTATACCTGTCGGCCGATCACACTAATTCAACATATACCTTCTCTGTTTAAATATGGAGTCTGTGGCAGTGCACTGTTAACACCGGGTAGAACGCATGTCAATATTAAATATAAAGATTTTATTCGGTTCCAATTCCAAACGATTCTGTACCTAAACAAGTCTATGATATTGAAATCAATCGCCCAGCTGGGTTTATCAATAGGAGTTATTAAAGTCGAAACGGAAAATAATTTTATTACGAGAGAAAAAAATCCATACTTTATATAAAGGAATTTAAGAATATAAAGGTCACGCACGTGCTATTGTATTCCCTGTCCCAGGAAAGATAAAAACGGACAGTTTTTAGGAGCGTGTCAGATCATGCATAAGGTTTTAGGGGTTTTTGCTAATACTAGAAGCATTTTTTAATTTTATTTTATTAAATAATAATAGTGATGATAATCTGTTTAAAATCAAAATGTTTTACAGAAACTAGCTTAGTTTTAAATGAAAAGAAAAATGATTTTATAATTATTATCATTTATTGTTCCGTTAAAATAAATAACTAGGATTTAAACATATTTTATTGTACAAATATACAAATGGATCGGACAACAAGTTATTACAACTTAATCAGAGACGTATAGAACATGGCTTTATACGTCTCTGAACTTAATAGAGTCAGAGACGTATTATACGTCTCTGATAGAGTCCTCTCCTCAATACATATTGTAAAAATAGTGTATATGTTTTTGGGGAAAGGGAAAAAGATAGGGTGTATCTGGTTATATTCATCTCCTGAACACGAGGTCTATCTGATCTCGATTTCAAATAGATTATAAAGTTCCAGGGACAAGAGATCTAATGAACATTAAACCGTCGAAACAACTATGTCAATTTATTTCTGGATTTTATAAAATCATTTTCACACCAATGCTTTTTGTAAGTTGGCGACTTCTCAATTTTAACAGCGGCATTAAAATATTTTGATTTTAAGTTATAAATATTAGATATTTATTTTGCTGGATGTCTCGCTAATGATACTATTTATCGGTTTTTAACCCGAGACTTAGGCTGTGGTTTTATATATCCGCCACTCCAATTATCATTACGGAGGTTTTAGGAAACACTTGAACATTTCTAATATTTCTGAATTTATTTAGCCATACTGGGTATAGATATATTACAGCGTTAACACGGTCTCAATGCTTCATAAAAAATATTCCTTGTTGGGGAGCAAATAACTGGTATTATCTGTATATGCCGATTGCTATTATGCTCTGTACCATTTTGTTTATTATCCAGTGTATAAATATATGTTGTGTTTGGTATTAACCTATCAGATGCAGGCTACTGCCGTATGGTCACCATACATGCGTTTCTTATAATGTCCATGTGGAATATATACCCTAACGAGTACAATACACATTGCTCTGCCATTTACATAATATTAAAATAAAATATGTTCAGATATTTTCTTTTAATAGATCGATATAAAACCGCGTAATTACAATAACTTGACCAATTAGTTTTAACGAATACAAAAATGCGGTACGTCTCGGTATTGTACTGATTGTAATAACAAGTTACAATCCTTCGGACACTTCCGATACTCCAGGCGAGGATTTAGCTGGTCAAGCGGACACTAGACACATGTGCTTACCCAGGTAAAAACCACAACAGTTAAGATATAAATATTGTAAGCCTTTACCCAGTCTATTTCAAGTATGTTAATACAAATAGGAAAACTAAACGTTAGATATTTTAAAATTCGGCTCGGTCTATCCCGACAGAGTTTACTGGCCAGGTGGAAGTGTTAAGAGGATATAGAGAGATAGTAACTGTGTTTATACATGTATATGTTTTTCTCGGTATAAGTAGGCGGTCATAATTTACTGTTAAAGACTGATAAAAATTACATTATCGCCTATTTAAAAACTGTGTTGCAATGTTTAGTGTCTGTAGTTTATAATCTGGAGCGGACTTTAAGTGGTCAACTTAAGCCCATATCCGTTTAAAATAAGATCATAATAAATATAAAATCACATGGCGGCCCTATCTGATGATAACATATCGCGCCTTTGTTTGAACAACTCTGATAAAATATGTCTCCGATAAAACTAGAGGAGTTTCCAGAATATAAACTGTCAAACGGAGTTTAATATATATTGGCTTTGGACAGAGCTGGAGAGAAAAACATACTCGAAAAAGCACTTGTCATAGAAGGCCCGACTTTCAAACAAGACAATTTAGGTTCCAAGCAAGTCTCCAAGAGTTATTGAATCTCAATATTTTTCGTTCATATTGCCCTATTCAAAGCACTTTTATCTGGCATTAAAGCTTGTCGACAACTCTCTAACTTTCTTAAAACGTTTCATCTTGGTTGCACTCGAGTGAGGCAAACCGTTCTTAGCCGATCCTAAGTACCATTGCTGTGGCAATATTACACACGGTGATATTCCGTGGATGCTCTATACCACGTACAATGACCCTTAATTATTGGTACTTACGTGTGAAGCCAGCATCCCTGTTGTTGCCGTACCAAGAGGCACTGGTAGTCCGAGGGTCCCCATATCCAAAGTCCGGGGCATTGCAGTACTGGGGCGGGAAGCTGGGTGTGTGATGGGACAGGGGAGGCACATATCCCGTGTGGTAGGGGTTGGTGGCACTCATGCTGCCCATCTGATGGGTTGGGTGTTGGGTGTGGTTCCTGTAAGGGGTAAGCGGAGGGATGTTCGCCTCAATAGTGGTCCTCTTGTAAGTCTCTTCGATAGGACTTAGAATGTCTGTTACTGAAAACGGTGTTGTGTGCGGCCGTGGACTGAGGGACATAACGTATGTCAAGACGTAATTCTGACTTCCACTTTGGGTTTTTGCAAGCCCTTCAGAGCTACTTTATTGTGTGAAGGACCAATCTCGTCGGTCAAACACATCATAGCGATTGTGTACCTTTCATTCTTAACAAATTATGATTCAAAGATAGTTTGCGCATGCGCAAGGCGGCGCTCACTATTGACATACAATCGCTAAGTCCCACCTTTCCGATTAAAGGGGAGGAGACAAGCGTTTCGTCAATAAATACGATGATATTTCTGTTACTGTCACTGTATCACCTCCCAACTGCCGCACCCCCGGAGATCTCTGACAGCCGTCACTGCTTTGCAGGGTAGAGCACACGCTGATCGGGGTACTATTTACCTGCGTGACATGTTAATCAACTTTGTTCACCTGTATACTGTCTTAAACTCATTATTATAGTTTACAGCCCGACAGCCTATCATAACCCGTGTCAAACGCTACCAGAGATTTTAAATCCTTAACGTAGGCGGAGTTAGGCCAAGTGGTGCATTCAGCGCCTAACACAATAGAAACATAACCAGACCAACTGATTATAGGGATATAGTGGTATCGTATACAGCCAGGTAGCGTTAATGATAACTTAATGAACTGGAAGTCACCTGTTTAAGTCACTATCATCATCTAGGTAGAATTCAATGTAAGGGTATACAATATTGATGTGAAGGTTCGGTCCGAACTCACTCCGGTTTGTTTGTCATTATCTATGGTTGTCAACACCCGTACCTATTTAAACAGTAATCATCATGTTTTGTTCTATTACCGTAAACATCTCCCTGGGACTTGTGATAAACAAGTGGACTTTTGGAATAAAGCAGCAGGAATCCAATCCCCTTATCTCAAGATATCCAGAAATCTTAAATAAATCTAAATAAACAAAAAACAATCACAATTTTAGGTAAAACTAGTCAGAAATTTATATAATAATTAGCTGAATTAAATTACTTTTCATGCATATTAATACCTACATATTTTATGTACCGGTATCTTTTATTTATACCTGTAATTTTTTTTTATTTATACCTGTATATTTGTATATACCTGTATCTTTTATGTATACCTGTATATTTTTGTATTTACACCTGTATATTTTTGTATTTACACTTGTATATTTTTATAAACCTGTATCTTTTTTTTATTTATACCTGTATATTATTTATTAATACCTGTATAATTCTTTTATACCAGTAAATTAAACATTCTTTTACGTTTCAATGAAAGTGGTTAATTTCTTTTTTTGCTTAAATAACTGCAGTTTCTATAAGCGGAACTCGTTCTATATATAATTCTCGGATGATTTATTAACAATATATGTTGAGTCTGTTCTACCACATGTAATAAAAAATACTTTATACGGCTCCAAATCACCTGATTTACAGCCAAACCTCCCGACAATGAAGCAATTTACAACGAAAACATTTTATAATGAAACAAGCTAAAACCTTAGTCCGTATAAAACGAAATCTACTTCCCGATAACAAAACAGCTATGCATCTTTTTACCTTGTCTCCTGTTGGTAGCCGAGTATGGTGTGTATGCGATATGATAAATACTACTTGATTTACATGTACATAAATATATATATATTTCATTAGAAATGATGTTATTTTCTTAAGTTTAAACTGCACATCTTAATTTTTAAAACAAACACATTACACTGTACCGATATAATACTGCAAGGGCCACTAAGGACTCAATAAAGTCGGTGAGTGTTCATATTGTAGAAGATATAATTAGAATATATAAAACAAAACAAAAACAGCGCAAAAATTACACAAAAAATGTACCAAACTAGTGCGTTCACCACTCAATTAGGATACTTCATGTGGTAATACGTGTGTATATATAAAAGACCTTACAAATATTTTGGTATATGAGTTTTTATTTTTATGAGTTGATACATTAACTTTACTGTTCATTTTTTTGTTCGTAAAATTTGTTAAAATACTTTTCAGGTTTGCCTTAAAAATATTAACTGTCTTTTTTTTTCACTAAAAAAGCTTGAGAAATAAGGAACCAGTTACATATTAAAACGTAGCATTCGATTTCATGTTATTCAAATATTGTTCATATAAACTTTAAGAATATTCAACACGGATGGGATTCCATTACGTGCTATCTATCAATTATTTTTCTTACATGCCTGGAACATGACAGTGTATTGCTAGAGTGTGTTAGTATGCCAGTAAATCAAGTTTATTGTGGACTGACAAGCTGCGATAACAAGGCGGATTTTAAAATCAAAATTTTAATTTTATTTGTCGAAGTTCACATCATATGTCCACAACAGTGAGCGATCCGGGTATTGAGTCCCCGGTAATTATTGGATTTGATTACTAGAATTTCAGAAGGTCTGTCTATTTTACGGATTACTACACGAAGGTGTTGGATTCAAACAAACGGATTGATTCGATTATCCGGGTGATAATCCCGACATACAAGACTGATGTTATTTAGCGCTATTGTCAAACAGAGTATATATATGTAGGTAGCGCGCCTCAGCACGGATGAAATGTACTCCGGTATTTAATAAAACGAAAACGAAAGACTGTGAGAGTAAAGTCTTTAATCCTAATTCTTATTTATTTTTCTTTCGTGGTAGATAAAATAGGTGTGATTCTCACAACACTTGTATTAACGTTTGACAGGCTAGAACAAAACTTGTTACGTAACGCTATCGTGGACCTGTCACAAATCTCGCCCCTTATTGTTCGGCTCCTGTTTGGCTATCAGACCCCTGGACGGCCAGATAAAGTCCCTTCTCTACCCCCTTGCAAGTGCTAAAATGTAGGATTGTTAAATCCCACGGGTTTCGTTACTTTCCGCGATGTCTCTCTCCGAGGCTGTGAAGACGACTCGACAGAATATGTTTGGGTAAATACCTTTTCGTCCTAATCCGCATGTCCTGCAAATAAAAACCGATTGTCTTTGGATAGTGTCCAACTGCTTTGTTTGCGCGCAGGTGTGCAGCTTGCCCATATAACACATGTTTTCCGGTTGTACTCGTTCAAAGTCGTTATATAATCGTTTCAATAAAATAAACAACGATACTGGGGATTATTTGAATTAATGCTCACTTGAAAGATATTTTAATAAGATTCGTTTTTATACGCAAGTAGGAATTATCCCTTTGCCTACAAATTCAATTCGGTGTTTTAGACTACATACATTAAATGTATCTTCAATATTTCTAAGAGCTAGCGTTACTGTTCGTGTGTACTCTTTAACTCGCATGTTAAATCATTAAATCTTCACAGATATTATTTTCAATCGTGATCTCCTTTAAGTATATTAAGTAAAAACGTCGCACAATATTTTATGCTTTTTAAACAATAAAACATAGACATTTTCTCTGAATGCGGAAATCAGCCATGAATGAATTTTTTACCTCAGATGTTTTATTTATTTATTTAACAAGAAAAATGTCCGCAAAAATGAGTAATTTAAGTTGCCTTAAATTACTCATTTTCGCGAATAATTAATTTCAAGATTTTCACATATTCGGTACCAGATAAATTGCTCCCAAAACTTACTAAAGTATTGATAAGAAATGTACGTTGACCCTACAAACCAAATAACACGCTGACGGTGTGCAAGATACTCGTGTCGAGTATTTTTGACAAAATAAGACAAAATTTAATTTTATGTGTTTATGAACATTTCCAGTAAGTCTATAAACAACACGTGTTGATGATTTTGAGTCTCAATTGTTTGAACTTTAAATTCTTTACGTATAGCTCCTGTAACTTTACCCGAATAAATACTTTTTCTAAAGAATGTATTCATGACAATCAAAAAGGTGGAATTTGGACAAAATATCAGTAGGCCCTTGTAGCAGTAACTCTACCCGACATTTGTTTACACTTCGACCAGTGGCAAGGAAAGGATTGAAACTCGAACCGGATATAAGCGTTAATTAAATTCATTTAATACGGGCAGTGTTTACCCGGGGTGGATACGTTACGGGGCTGACTCGTCACGGCCGTGTATAGACGGAAGGGCCTCCCCGGACCTGAGTAAATGGTAGTCTATTGGAACAGCACAAAATTATCCTAAATCCTGTTTAAGTTTGTCGTTTAGGAAAACGGTGGGGAGGGGACATAGGCACAAAACTAACCTAGCCGTGGCAAAACTTAAGTCGTGGGCAAACAAATTGGTCTTGTAGCGTTTTATTGTTAACTTGTGTGTCATTGCTTAGCTAAAGTCAACAGCATCAACGTGGTCAAACACAGAACCAAGGGGGCTATACAGTTTGGAGGGTCAATATATACACACGGTCCTCGCGTAAGGTCCATAGCAGCGCCAAAATTATATACAGACCTATTGCTAGAGTGTAAATCCTGTGAAAATATTGAATTCGTCAACATATTGGAATAAATGGTCAGCACACAAATACTATAAAACCTGTCAGTGGTGATTTTATTTTAAGTGCAATCCAGAAGAATATCACTCCGCCCCTGTTTACCGTCCTGATTATAGTCCAAACTGCCGCGTAACGCTGACACTAATACACTTTCAATTGTCGCCAAATTTACCCCTGGTTTATATAACATCGCCTTTAAAAAACCTTACAAATGTACAATCTATTATCAATAAAAAATTGGCTAATGACCACTTACGGTCACTCATGTTCGGTCAAGTTGTCGATAACGACTTTCCGACCACTAAAGACGTTGAATGGGCTTCCCAAGTAGAAATCAAAAGCATTGTTTGACCAAAGTATCACAAATATAAACATAGAAAAACTAGGCTAATGTCCTGTCCAGAATTAGCGCTACCTGAGCAAACGTTTGTTTGTTTTTTTTAAACTAGATCCCATTGTCATGTAGGAACAAGATAGGGATTTTTATCAATGAAGAATAAGAAGGTACAAATGTATTTGTTGTGTTAAAGGATTTTGGCCAAGATTTTTACATTTCGTAAAAAATAGCGAAACTTGTATACTTAAATAAACACCGAATCGTCCATCAATGCGCGTTCAGAAGTGCCTCGTTATCTAGATATAAGCATTGAGTTTGCGGTCGTGAAAAACAGGCACAATCTCCATCATAAAGAAACTGAACACACAATACCAGCTTGAATAAAGAAAACGAGGACAGTATTTTATTTTCCCTTTCCTATAGAAACTGTCAAATCAATTAGACATACCAGAGTCTGTAAAAATGGTAGTTTCTACTCCTGTTTAACGCTCAGCAAGTTTGGAGTGGGACGACTGGTTCGCCCGTTTTCAGTATAATGTGACCGGGTGGGGCGTCCTGCTGGGTATCTTCGGCAG